TTGCAGATTTCGTCATGGATGTGCCATTCTCATAAATCCGTATCACACAGCACATCTGTGATCTCAAGCTCTAGCTCCTTTGGTACATTATGGACTTTTGTCGATTTAAATGAATCACGAACTATCGATATTATTGTTTCTATTTTTCGAATATCGACAAATCTTGCTAATAAGTGATCTACGAAATTCTGATTGGAATAAAACTAGGAATTATAAAATAATTCACAAGCTAACATATTAAAATTATATAATAAATTCAAATCTACTTTGTTTAAAGAGGCATCGAAATCTAGAAAAATAATCCGTTTTAAGAAATGTGATTATTGTTCGAGGATCAGAAAAAATAATTGGCGACCAGCCATTGTTGTTTGCCCATGCTTGCTGCAAACTAACACTATAATAGACATTTATTTTCATCACAAAAACACTAAGTGAAACATAGCATTAAGGAAAAGTTCTAGCATGACTCTTTCCGGCTATGTCCCATTTCAGGATTTACCAGATGAGGATACTTCTAAAAATTGTCCCATTTCAGGCTTTCCAAGATGAGGGTTTCTTTAAAAAACGTCCTATTTTAGGTTTACTAGAATGGTGAGATTAAGCAGAATTCCTTTCCATCATTCTGATTCAGAGTTAGTGCTAAATCCAAAATTGTGACCGGAGATCCTATTTTTGGACATCATTTCAGACATATTTCGAATACAGTGGAATCTCGGATTAATAAAGCCTTTCACCACGAACAATTCGGTTCACGAACAAATTATTGTGATAAAGAAATATCTCGAATGACGAATGAGGTCTCGAGTTACGAACACGCAAATCTGCAGCAAGGGATTTTCAAAAAGTGCCTGACGTAACTTATGATACAGAATCAGTTGCGTAACTAGGAGAAGGTTGGGCACATTTTTTAGGGGCAGCAATTTTTCTCGGAAACATTATTTTATAGCGGTTACTCAGGTGCATCGGGGAGGCAGGTGAAGAATAATGAGATTCTCAATCGCTATACGGAACTAAATTGAGTAGAAAAATAGTTTTTGCTCGTGGTGATTTATTTACTTTACTTAAAAGTATTCAAAGGAATCACCACGAAATTTCAACAGCGACATACTTTTGTTGTACCTTTTACATTCCGTCGAAACTTTTGAATGAAAATTAGGAATATAAATAAACGATCATGATGATATTAATAAGAAAGCATTCCTCTTTAATAAAGAAGTATTTCAGAGTTGTTTTCTTTCACTTAAGGGTAAGGAAATCAAAATAAGAACGTGGAAGGGTAGTCTTTTTGAATTTTTGAAATTAATTCTGAGATACAATCTTCAAGAGTAATGTTCTAAATATTTTAATACTAGTGAGAACTTTCCTCTCAGTTGTAGTATATGTTGTTAGTTGTGAGATGTTTTTTCTACATCGAAATCATTTCAGAAGTATTTAGGAACTATAAATGTTGATTTTGCATTTCAGAAATCTTCCTGTACTGTCTACGTAACAACACGAACGATCAAATAGACCTTTATAATGTCAGGATGGTTTTGTGAATAAAAAAACAAGCAAAATTATAATATAATTTTAAAATTCTGGAAATAATTTTTTCCTTCAAAACTCAACGTAGAGTTTTAATTTATTTTACTACATGTCGTTTTGACATTTTTTGTAATTATATGTTTCTATTTCGAAAGGGGAGGCAAATTCGTGGACCGCCTTAGGGGGCTAATCTCAGGAGCCGCCCAAAGCGGCAAAATGTATAGCCATATCATTTTACAGAATTAACAATGAGGGATTTCTTGAAACATGTCTTAATACTCTCTCATTAACAAAGCCTGGCAGCAAATGACATTAGAAATATTTTTAAATGCAGACCATAATAGGTCACAGTAAACAAACTTTGAGCGAAATGAAGGCGCAGTGGATCTCAGCCTGAATAGAATGGCCTTGGAAAGATAAAAGAAGATGCCTCAAAAAGACAGTTACCTGAAGTTTTGATGGAATAGCACTCCTCATCCGAACAACACCCTCTCTTCCCTTTCTCTTCTTTTTCCCCTTATACCGTACTCTTTCATTATATAGGTAGAGTAAAATTGGATAAAATTCTTGTCGATTTTTTCTGTTTAGTATTGTATTTGTCTTTTTTTATAAGCTTTTATTTAGTTTGTTTACGGAGTTTGTCACTATGGTCAAAATTTTGCTACCGATTTTTATACTATTTCCTAATAAACTATCAAATTCAAATTCTGTGCACATTGTGAATGAGAATACAATATGGTAAAGCTATTTTTTTCAAAATTCGATTTAGATTTTTCCTCTTCCTTGTAAAATTTAATGTTAAAAACATTTTTTTTTTCTTCTTTTTCCACGTATCTTTGTTTAACAAACAAACTAAATATTACAGAATTTTTACTATTTACATCATCGAACAGAGCGGAAAAAAAAGCCTTTAAAATAAAAGAAAGTTCACAGGAATGTTCTAACATATTTCTAATTTTTTAAAAGTTTCAAAAACCTTTTTATTTTATTTTCACTGTCTCACGTGCAAGAATTGTTGGAAGTAAAAGAATAATTATTTATTGTTGAAAAACGATTTTCAATTTGGAATTATTTGATTGATAATAAGTGATTGATACAAAAAAGGAGAAAATACAAATATTTTTAAGAAGTTTTTAGTAAATTAATTTAAAACTGTTAAAATAATTGATGAATTAAAAGGGGAGAATTAATCCATCACATAGGATAGGAACAATAGATTAAATAACTCTCTGGATTAATTTATGAAGATGATAGCTTATACTTTTGACAATGCAATCCGATTATCAGATTTTGTTAGATAGACAGTCATACTTTTATTATTCGTGATAGAAAATTATAGAAGAATTTTGTAAAAAGAATTTGTTATAAGCTTTTGTTCCTATTAAACTGCGTGATAAATTATTTTTCTCCTTTAAATTCATCAATCATTTTATGAGTTTTAAATTTATTTAATAATTTTTTAATGATTTTTATTAGTTTGTATTGCAAATTTAAGCTCGCAATATTTATAATTATTATTAAATTTATGTACTACTAGCAGCTACGCTGCCAGCCTTCGTCTGGCTCTTAAATGTACCGGGAAAATTCCTGAAGGAAACATCAAACGTTAAATTTTAAAAACTGCGCAGAATTTCACTCTGCATAACAACTTCATCATGAAAAAATAATAATAAATAAAATTTTAAAAAAAACCCACCACACCACAAATTTAAAAAAAGTACTACATATAACAAAATTACAATAAAATAAGCAACATCCCTTAATATAAATATTAATTATTCTAATAAATGTCCAGTAGCCAAGAGAAACATTAAATTTAAAAACTACACAGAAATATCCCTTTCATTTTTCCAAGTGGCAACAATGCTGATTTTCAACAGTCCAGTATACATTTGAATGAAAAACTGTTGCCAAAACCACATTTCTAAAAGAATGAAACTATTCAAAATGATGCAATAAAATCGAAAAGATAAAATAAAAAGCAATCTGATTCAAATTTTGAAAAAATCCTTCGAGGTGCACTGGTTCTTGTCTAAGATGCACCTATATATCAAATTTCGTAACCCTGGGTTTCGTAGCTTACGCGCAGCACAAACGAAAGACACACAGACTCTTTCTTTTGTTATAGGTAGAGATTATAAAGTTTAAATAATCATTCATTCATCTCTAGACCAGGAGCAGATTCATGAATTTCAAATTAATTTCCTATGCGGAAAATAGTGTCCGCGTACGAACACTTCCACGGCCTTTACGAACTAACTACTTTTCGTGACCCAAGGTTTCATTTGATTTTAGAGATCATTTTTTACATATTTTACATAGAGTGTGGAATATGTGTGAGATAACTTTACAGTGACATTTCGCTTTTTAAATTTCGTGTTTAAATAATGCTTAAAAACAACATTAATGTTACGTAGTGGTGATGTTTAATCCAATAAACACGAAGAACAAATTTTTATTTAATTGCAATTCAATATATTTGCTGTCTTGAGATATGGTCACATGGATTTCTAAAGAATAATAATAGCTAAATTATTTTGAGAATTTTACAACTTAAGTGAAAATAAAAATGAAGAATGCTTCAGGACTGGGGGTTAGTATTAAATATAATTTTTAAATGGACTGATTAAAAATTGCCGCTGATGTTACTATTACATTTTGTAATAAAAAATTATTCATTGTTTTAATGGCTATTTCATCATAAATGTACGTTCATCGCGGAGGCGAATAAGATATGTCTTCCTTTTCTGTCTAAAATGAAAGTTTTCCTCCTTTCACGAACAATTTACTTCGAAGTTATTAAAAATTTGTGAATTTTACTTTTGAATTTTTGATCCTAACGAACACAGTGAAAGAGTTTTCTAGCTCAACGGTTCTCAACTATTTTTTCTTTCGGATAACCTTAAATATAACTTAATTATTTCGCTTACCCCTTTGTAAGAGCACCCAACACCTTCTCCTTAAGAGCCTATGACCCCCTGAAGCCATTCATTCATCATTGTGCGTTTTCAAGCTCAGGTGGAATAGGTGAAATATCCCCAAACTTGCTTAGTAATTGACCCCAGATAGGAACTATTTGATACAAGTAATTTCTGTTCTATGCAAATATCCACTTCTTAATTATTTATCCATATTTATATCAATAACAATTTACAGTTCGCAACTTTAAAAGAGATGCGAGTTTAAAACAAAGCTCTGTACTCAAACTGATTTGCGTATCACAATTTAAAGACAGAGAGCTATATAATTGACTTGATTATTCAATAGATGCTGAAAACACAATTGCTATATACGGCACGTTGTGACACAACAAGGAAAAGAATGGACTTGATATGTTGCACACTAAAACGAGTAATATGAAAAGTGTCGGCGGGACTAGCAACAACTTATTGTATTCCTTTTGAACACATTTCGGATAGTAACATTTACAGTGTACTGAATTAGTAAAACTATTTCGCTTTCTAATCAATGCCAAATTTAAATTTTCTGAACATTTTTATTTTTATCAGCACTATTTATAACACTTTATTATTTCCTGCCATTACTTGTAATTTTTTCGCGAACTCCTGATTATGGCATCAAGTGAGCCGCTGTTCTAGCTAATAAACATTCAGTGGCCATTAAACAGAAATGATCTAATGTGAAATCAATGAACTCAGTATGGGACTCACTCTCTACAGTTATAAGTTCGAAAGAGCTTTGATATTTTTTAAATAATTATTTGTTAAAGAAAAAACGTTAATGGAAAGTTAAAAGAAATGGAACCATTTTGATGTGCTAATCGCAAACATCTGCAGAAATAAAGGAATAGCCTGGCATGATTTTTGTTGCCACTTCCAGGCAAAGTGAAATGGAAAAAGCTGAAATAGGACATTCATGAACTCTTCCAATCTGTTACCGTTTCTTAACATGTGCAAAGACATTCATTGGTGATTGGATACGGCACGCGAATCCAGTTGCATTTGAAGTTGGCGGGCTGTTCACCTTCGTTAATCTTCCTGGGCCAGTCCTTGTTCTTGGAATCCTTGGAGTTCTTATATACTCTTCGGCGTCCTTTGCCTTTGGGGACTTTGCACTGCCATCGTAGAACGTGCAAGGTAGCTGTTCCAGACGGTACACAGTGCATACCGGGTGGCCAGGAACATGTACCAGGTACACTGGCACATTCACCGCGCTTGATGTACCGGGGCCAAAACAATGAACCTATGTCTTCCCATGCATATCTGAAAAGAAGAGAACAGGATAAGTAATATTTTCAGTAAGAAGGCCAGGTACAAGCAGGAATCGCGATATGGTAATGGAGGTCAATAGACAGGACTTCAGTAGTCTTACAGTAGCAGTAACAGATATAGCACTATATAATATCGAGACTTAACATATGACAACGCAGGTCATTAGAAAAAGTAGAGCAGCATTGTAGAATTGTTATCGTAGCAGAACAATATATTAGCGGTATCATTTATAGTATGGTGTTATAAGTCAAAAGACAGGACAAGACATTAGTAATGTTTAGCACTGGTAACGGTACCATTTAGTACTATATAGTACCCGGACTTACCATATGATGATGTAAGTTAGTAAGTAAGATGGGATAGAATTTTAGGAATGTTATGGTGGTAGTATTTAATACTATATGGTAGCGGTATAAAGTTATTTTTTCCTCCTTTCCGCATGCCTTCGTGGTGTAATTGGAAGCATACTTGACGCGTATTCTGGAGATACGAAGTTCGAATCCAGGCAAATCATTTCACATTTTTTATGTCTCCAGCATCAAAAACCCTAATGATCCTACAGTGGCGCCCGAACTAAGAAGTGGTGGACAATAATTAATCACCACTGGATTTGGCGATTGGGTCCTTAACCCCCAGTCACCCTTTAAATGGGGACGTATATAAGGTATTTTCTCCCTCCTTTTCGCATTCCTTCGAGGTGTAATTGGAAGCATACATTAAGCGCATTCGAGCAGTCCAAGGTTCCAGTCCTGACGAGAGGACTGCACAACCTAATGACTCAAAATAACCTAATAACTTTACAGCGGGATTTAACTACTCTATCATGATCAGATCAGTAGGCGAGACAGGACATTAGCAGTCTTAAGGTAACGGTAGCACATATGTAGTGGGGCTTACCAGGATAAGACAGTACTTCAGTAGGTATAATAAGCAGGACGGGATTTCAGTAGGCAAAACACGACACCACGACTTCGTCTGACGATGCTACCGATTCAGAAAAACCATCCTTCAGAGTGTCTGTGCTATTTTTTCAAACTCTGGAGAAGTAACGGAATAGAAACGCTTCATAACTATGAATAACTTATGAAATTCCGTCAGCGTTCACCGACAAAGAAACTCTCAAAACAGTTTCGCGACATTAAAATGGTAACAGCCTTATTATTAAAATTAGTTTTTTAATTTTGGCACAAAACTTGTGTATGATATGCATAAAGATATCGGTACCTTTATGCAGATCACACATGTGTGCTGTAAAAATGCTTTCACTTTCTTTAAATTAAAAACGGACCTTAATAAAAGCATCTTTATGCAAGTAGGGTTTCCGTCTGCAGAGAAATGACAAACTGAAATTATAACAAGATAACATTTTCAGCTTAAAATAAATTGAAAACGCCTTTTGCCTTTGTAATAATCACCAAGTATTTCCAGAAGTTGATCTGTGTCCAGGTTCTTTTTCCGTGGATGTCTGCTGAAACGGGAGTTGACAAGGGAGAGTCGACCACCTGCTCCGAGTGCATGCTTGACTGGAGATTTACGACGAACAATGAAAATATTTTCCGTTGTGGCTGCTTCACCGTTTTCGAGATTGATCGTCGTTGATTTCTTTAAGTTAGAAACTGATAGTTACTTAGTACCTTTATGCCTGTGCACCCTTATGAAGTTTTTAGAACTGGCGAACCCCAGCTTACTTAAATGCAGATGCCGGTCCCTCAAAAGGCACCCCTGAATCTAGAACGCGCCTGCGAGATCTCGCGTGTCATAGAGAGATTTCAGAAGTGTTGCAAATGGATGATATCTGACTTTTGTATTATTTCATGCAAAACAACGTTAAGACTTGATGAAAATGTCTTACCACCACTTCTTGCATTACTATTACTTCAGTTTTATTATTACTACTCCATATTGTTCCCAGCTGCGGTTTGTAGATATCTCTATAACCTTTTGATGGTCATGAACCAGTTCAGCTCGCGTTCTAGTTACGATTCCAGATAATTGGGTACATATGTTGATTGTTATGGATAACTAGATGGAGGTGCTGATTATTATGTTAGATAACTGGATGGAGATACTGATTTTTATGTTACGTAACTGGATACACATGTTCAATGTTATGTCAGGTAATGGTAATAGCAAATAAAATTGTTCCCAACCTACCTTACTGGACATGAAGCTCTGTTTAACAGCCACTTCTCGACGGTCGTTACAAATGTAGGATCTTGCAGAACACTCTCTCCTCCCAACTGTGCCAGTTCCAAGCTCAAATTCGAAGTTTGCAGCTGCTTGATGAGCTCTGAATGTTGCCAACCATCGTGCCTCACTACATAGATCACTCCACGGTCCGGATCCTTGTTTGCCAGCGCTGGTGGTTCCTCTATGGACATCCACTCGGGTTCGTAATAATCACCAAGTATTTCCAGAAGTTGATCTGTGTCCAGGTTCTTTTTCCGTGGACGTCTGCTGAAACGGGAGTTGACAAGGGAGAGCCGACCACCTGTACCGAGTGCATGCTTGGCTGGAGATTTACGACGAACAATGGAAATATTTTCTGTTGTGGCTGCTTCGCCGTTTTCGAGGCTGATCGTCGTTTCACCGTACAAAGCTCTTGTGAGAACAGAGAGAAAGATAAGCATACAGAACAGCATCTCGCTGAGATCAGATGAAGCTGAAAAGATGAAAATAATTTTAATTCTTTGAAGAGAGAGAGAAAGTTTGTCAAATTAATGGACCTGTAGTTCTAGGCAAAATGTGATTTTTTTATTTGATTTTGGGAAGGTAAATATTGCTGCAGTTTCACAGTTTTTTGGAAAACAGTTGAGCGATAGAAAATTAGCTTATTTTAGTGATGTTCTTGATGGCAGAGGAAGGTGCTTCAAGGCTTTGTTGCTGATGTTGTCACGTCCAGCTGCTATGCTATTTTTGAGATTTTCTATAATGCTGCCTATTTGTGATGGAGTGGAAACTGGAGGACAGTTTCTTGGTTTAATTTGTAGCAACAAGTTTTGATACTTTGTTAATGATGTTGTAAGTGTACGGCCTGGGATTCGATTAGAATGTGTTCACCAATTCATCTGCGAGGCAATTCGCTTTGTAGACATCTGATCCATGGTGCAATGGGATAGGCAAATATCACTTGATGGCCTTCTTGATGAAACCACTGAGCACTGAAAGTTCGATCCAATTTCGAATCCTGGCAAATATGTTGGCTGTAGGAGTGTATCTGAGATTTTTCCGATGTGCAATGTAAATCTGAGCGAGTTTCGCTTGCAAAATCCTCCTCAAAGGCATCGTTCGTTTTAGACATATAGCCCTCGCGTGCCTTGCCGTTATATATTAAAACAAATAAATAGGCCATCTTGGATATCAACTATTTCGAAAGCTAAATTTTTTCATTAATTTCAATAAAAAGAACTCAGTATATCCCTACGATGATCATCCACTATTGCCTCTACGAGACTGGACAACCAGTTCCCGTAACACATCCTTGTAACGAATATTTTCAAGAATTTATCTGGCTTGGTGCGAGGGTGGCATGACATAGAAATCTTTTATTGCTGCTATTGCCAGGTGAGGATTGCCGCTCAACCTCTAAATTGCCCAGGTTAACCTTAATAGAGAACCTTCAAGGCATCGGACTATTAAAACGTCGAAATCTATCCTTCATACTGGATCGAGGAACATGCACGTTTAGTAAAAGTTGCTTCGTGCGTCTCGCATTCTTCAGTCTGATAAAGACTTTAGAAAAGTAATATTCAGCACCGAGGTTTACTTACAGTCTCAGATGCATTGTCACTTTCTTATGGTATCATCTACAGCAGGTAATTCCGATGGATTATGACTTTTCCTCGTGTTGTTTTCCATCACTTTTGATTTAGAAAAAGACCAATTATTCTTTTTTTACAAGCTCAAAACATAGTGAACTCTTTCGGACTACTAGCTTGAAGACTACTAGCTTGGGCCGAACTTGGCTTACCTTTGTGGGAGTGACAGGCATTTCTGAGAATATACATGAATGAACATTAGCACTGAACATCATCTCCCTGAGGCAACCACTCTCACAGGAGACCCAAATCATCTGGAACTATGAGTGGTCACCTTAGACAGAAGGTTAAATGTGCATTGCACCTTTATGTTCGAAAAGTTTATTTTTTGAATTTTTGCCGTCGCCCTTTAAAATGTATTAAACACTTTTTTAACACCCTCCCCCTCCATAATAAATTTCACGTTTTCGCAAATAAATTCCTATTATTTTGAGCCTCGGTTTTCTTGCCGCATTTTTATCAGACTGACTGAAAACCTCATTAAACTATTCACATTGAATAAATAAATTGTAGGACTAATGAATAATAAAAAAGGAGCCAAAACTAGATGTATTTTAATTCTATCATCACGCGATGACTTTCATGCTTTTTTAGATCAAAACGCTCTTCATCATGGCAGTTTGAAAAGCGTGTTTATCTATCTTAATTGGGTCATATGCATTTGTCATTCTCATGCAGAAGTTCTTGAAATGTCTTTTGAAGAGTAGGTCATATAACCATGCCCTCCATTTAAGAAAAGAATAAGGAAAATAAAGGCCGGGTAAGGACGTTTGTCAACACGATGTACAGTGTACATGAGGCCTGCATGCGTAATGAATTCAAATACGTGTAGTGTACAAGTATGCTTACCACTCGCAACTGCAGTTGGTATTGTAACAACAAACGTAAATACCGTCGCATTTATGCGATGAATCAGGAAAAGAAAAGTATAAAAACAAACGAAAGGTTATGCTACAGTTAGTGAAATGGTGAAATGGTAGACACGTTTTTGTGATATTGATATTTATAGCAATTATCATAAAATATTTTTACGTATGAGAAGAGAGTATCTGGTTCGGGACCTAAATCTGAGTTACGTTTGTTGAAAAATAAAAATAAATAAATAAGTGGATAAAATAAAAATGACTTTAATTTTGAAAAAATAAAAAATTAAAGATTAGAAAGCAAGGGAAAAAAAAAAGAGAAAGATTTAAATCAGAGGTGAGGAACGTGCGGCCTTAAAGCACGGAACGTGCGGCCTCTGCGAGTTTCTTGTACGGCCTCTAGCTCTTGTATTAATTGATATTTAATTATACAGATTACGACTATTTGAAAATTAATAGAATTAAATAACATGAGCATTTTGCATCAGCAAAATTTGGGGGCAAAAATAACCGTTTTGCAAGGCACTTTGGATAGAACTATTTCGATTGTCAACTATATTTGCGTCGCCCAGACGGTATAGTGGCTAGGGAAGTAAACCGCTGAGTTGCCTTCCGACCCAGGTATAGATATATCCATGCAGAATTGGTTACCAACTCAGAGGGAGTCAACCACTAGCTGCCAGGCCGCAGCCCAACCAGTGGTTAGGGGAGCCTACTACGATACCGAAGGGCCTGGATTCAAATCCCGGAGAAGACATGGATGTTTGTAATTATATAGTTTCGGTGCTGCATGGCGGCACTTTAAATGTGCGGAGAGCCGAAAGTGTGGATTGGCCTCTCGTGTGGATTGGTGGGAGTGTAGAGGGGTGGGAGACCATCGTATTCCCCCCGGAGGTGCTCTCCCTCAAAATTGGGGTTAGAAAATAGAAGTCCAACCTCTCTTTGAAGTAGGCTGTGGCAACCACTATTTCATGCAATATGGACACGACGACAACAACAACAACTATATTCGCATAAAATGGCAATGGGTCATGAATGCAAATTACAGATCCTCATTTAGAGGATCTACTACGGCTGCGCGTTACGAAGTTTGATTCAAATATTCAATTACTTTCAGACAAGAAACAAATGCAGTTATCCTATTAAATTAAATTTTCCATCGGATTTTAATATTATTTTACATACTGTTGCTATGTTTGTTTTTTTATAACTTAATATTACCTTTCTATTATTTTTTTCCTTATAATTTAATAAGCTTATTGGAAAATGCTTCTACTTTTTATTTTTATTTGAAACAGTGTTTAAATATATGTAGTTATTTATTAAGCCTTGATTTTCATTCTGCATTTTTAGTTCATTATTTTTATTGACACTTATAAATTAATTTAATTTCTTTTTTTCTCCTTTAGGTGATGACTGTAATATTACAGATTAAAATCTCGGTAGGATCTGATAATGGGGCAATATCCAACATCAAATGCTAATACAGAAGAAAGATCTAGAAAACGGTATGCATTTTTTGATAAAAACAATACAAATGAAGATATCAATTTAAGTGGGTCAAACGAACTTTAAAAAATGTAAATAAAATCTATACTATTTGTGACAAAAAGGTCTAGAGTCTATTTGATTAAAAAAGTATAAAGATGTGAGAAGAAGACGAACAGAAACCACACACTAAAGTAAAACATAAAATTCAGCCCCCCCCCCAAAAAAAAACTGTGCTTGGCGTAGATTTTAGTCAAGGATGTATAGATTTTGAAAACACAACAAGTACACATCCCTTTTTATCAGGAATAAAGAAGTGTGCAACGAACGGTAACCCGCGGTCGTATTTATACTCAAAAAGAGCAAAGTGAAAGACTAAGTAAAATCACAATTTTGACTTTGGGGTCTGCAAAAATTAACCAAAAAGCTTCTTCAATTGGTGAACTGAATTTTCTTAAAGCTTTTCACATTCACAAAGATCTTGTTTAGTTAATGACTTTAATTCCAATCCAGTCCTTCTTTACGCTTAGAATTATATTAACTTTGTAGAGACATTAGGTATTTTTTGGAAGCAGGAAAGATGAAAAATTAGCAACTGACTTCGCCGTGAATCGAACCACGGACCTCTGGAATACCAGCCCAGCCTGCAGAACCACTACACCACGAAAGCACGCTAGGAAGGCAGGAGAAATACCCCTTTTAAAGCCCGGCTGAGGTTTTAAGGGGAACCAATCGCCAAATCCTGGGTTCGAGAGGTTTTGGCGAAGAATCCATCCAACACCCTTTTAGTTCAGGCGCCAATGTAGAGTCATTAGGATTATTTGGAGGCAGACGAGATGAAAAATTAGCAATCACCTTCTCCGGGAATCGAACCTCGGACCTCTGGAATACCGGCGCAGCGTGCAGAACCACTACTCCACGAAGGCACGCTAGGAAAGCGGTAGAAATACCTTATAACTTAATTTTTCAATTTATTTGCTATTTCTGCCGACAGATGGCACTACCTTCCCGTCCGTTTTACTGCATTTAATGAATAAATTGTTCATATGAATATGTCATATTCTATTCGATATTCCATACCCATTGTTGTTCATTTCATTGTAGGAAATAACTATGGAACGTATACGGAATGATAAATATGTTCACATAACTATGTGGATCGACATATTGAATGAATTGTCGTTATGAACAAATAATGTTCCACTGAGTGGATTTGAATTCCATTGATTGAATGAACGGATGAACATTCCACTTCATTGAATGAGAGTGGCCAATGTCAGTTTAATTCAATGAGTCATTCAATAGAACAATTCATATGAATAAATCAATGCAGCATTAGACGTAACTGAATACAAGAATTCAATGAACGCCGTTTTGTTACACAAACATTTATTACACATTATTTGCTCATATTTTGTCAAGCGATTTTTGGCATTTGAAAGAAAGAGACTTGTTTTAGAACACTGTGTTGAGAAATTTGTAACAAAATATCGTTAGTATTAAGTACAAAATGTCTGAACTATCATGCTACCAGATTAGAACCCTCATTTATTTTCAGTTCTGTTGCAAAACATCAGCTACAGAATGTCACCAAATCATGTGTAGAGCTTTAATTACTAATGTTGTATCATATGACACTGCGAAGGTTTGGTACTAAAATTTCAGAAACAAGGATTATATGAAATTCAAGAAGCAGATCGTTCTGGCCGACCTACCGATGCTGATGAGGCCCGCCTGCAAGAACTTGTAGAAGAAGATAAGTATGCAGCCACTCGAGAACTTGCTAAGAAGTTAGACGTCGGTGCCATGGCCATTAGTCGCTCTATGCTAAACTTAACGTACAATTTCAATCGTTGGGTGCCGCATGAGCTGACTCAAGCAGATAAGGTACTAAGCATGCACTAATCTGCTCGAATATCAACGTAAGGACAAACTCCGGACTGGATCGTCACTTGTGATGAAAAGTGGACTTACTTCAATAACACAGGGCAAAAAGGGGTTCGTATGCGCCCGGTAAGCCCGTCTGCAGCGTCGCAAAACGCAATTTGACTGACAAAAAGATCATGCTTTGTATCTAGTGGGATTACTGTGGTATTATTCCACGAAGAGTATCTGGAAAAGGTAAACTTTAACAGTAAGGTGTACAGCGAGATGCTAATCCGTCAAGAAAAAATACCGAACGGAGTGCCAGCGCAAAAAGGTAATGTTCCATCAAACTAATGCAAGACCACATGCGTCTGCTTTCACCGGCTAGACTCTGTACGGACTCGAATGGGATCTTTTGCCACACCCACCATATAGCCACAATATTGCTCCTTCGGACTTCTACGTTTTTCACACCTGCAGCTACATCTTCCAAGTACTACCTTCTATTCTGTACAAGACATCCGAAATGAGGTTGATCTGTTTTTAGACTTGTCGCCAAGTTTCTGGGCCGAAGGCTTTGAAAAACTATCAAAACGTTGGCAGAAAAATCATAGATTTGGGTAGTGATTACTACCCGCACTAACGGTACTGCTTTTTTTCCCCTAATTTTATTAAGAACGTTTTTTGGCGGAAAGCTTTTGTTACAAACAGATAGTAGGGTATCACCCGGGTACTCGGATTCGGAGATCCAACCCCATTCAAAAGTAACATATCAATTATACAATATATATTACTATTGGGTGACAGCAATAAATCATGCAACATATTAAGATGCACATTTTAACAAAGAAGTCATACACAAACAAACGCAGCACATTCAAATTCCCCGTAACATAGAAAGACAGACTGTCCAGCTGGTATATCAGATATAGAAAATTACAGGATATTTAACTGTTAAAGATTAGTATGAAATTTATGGAGCACATTAATAATTCATGTAAGAAAATACGATCGAAAAGTAGAACATACCAAGAAAAGAGATAAAATACACAAAAAATAGTCCTTAAGAAGAGGACTTTAAAAATTCCTCCATAGGGCATCCCTCCATGTCATAACATTTTGAAGTCACCTAGAATAGGTGGGTTTGTAATATTTCATGTACATGTTCCGGCTTCAGACTTCAGTCTGGTTTACGAAAATTTTCTTACAAAAAAGTAAGAAAATGTAAAAATTCTTACAAAAAAGTAAGAAATCCAAAATTTAACCAATCACAGATTAGCTGTACTTTGTGCACCTATCTTGTACAAATAGCTAATAACTCCATATTTTTTCTCTTTTTCGCCTCTTCGCCTGCGTGCTGACAGCTTGTCGCTCAGCCTCTGCTAGCTATTCGTCATTATTTAAAATATAATTGCATATCTAAAATTATGGGGCGCGTTTAGCACCCTCTAATCTTCTGCAGTTATGTATTAAGAAATTTGTCATTCAGGAATAAATTATATTTAACTATAAATTCGGTGAAACTTCTAAAATTTCATCCGATCGTCCATTACGCCATCTACGCAGCAGTATTTCCGGTCATGATTAAAAGTGAATTGTTTTCATCTTCCGCAAAAGTACAATTATTAAATATGTATAAAAATATATTAGAATAATTTATCAGCTAATTCTGGATGCAGAAAAGCAAGAATTTTCTTGTGGAAGAGGAACTGTTAATTGATTCTGAAGTATCTCTCTATTTTTCTCCCGCCTTCCTAGCGTGCCTTCGTGGTGTAGTGGTTCTGCACACTGGGTCGGTATTCCAGAGGTCCGTGGTTCGATTCCCAGCGAAGGCGTTTGCTAATTTTTCATCTTGCCTGCTTCCAAAATGCCTAATGTTTCTACACCTCTCCTGACAATGTTATCTCGGGGTTAACCGGATTCCTCTTCTACACACACACTGCTCAAAACAATAAGGATATATGATTTTGAACATAAAATACGGATGAGGAAATGTTTTCTTGACTGATATATGATGTATTGATGTTATAAGATATGAGAAAAGAAAAAGAAGCAACGAACAAGGAAATTACTGGCTCAAAAATAAATTGAAATACCGGCCCAGACCATCACTCCGCCTCCGCCAAATCGAACACTTTCGTGCACAAATGCAGAATATTCCGTATACATTTCTTTCTACATGAGAATCCACCTATTGTCAGGTTGTATACTAAAGCAGGATTCGTCCGTGAAAAGCATGTTGCTCCACTCATTTCGTCCCCATCTGAGACGCTCTTGTGCCCACCTTCTGGGGCAGTACGGTGGTCCTGTGTCAACGAAATACAAACCATAATTTGCGAGCATTCAAACCTACGTGGTGGAGCCCTCTGAAGGCATTGTTGAAAGAAAGTGGCGTTCATAATGCAATTTCTTCTGCACGTTAGTGTTAGATGCCGATCCTCATTTCGTGTTTTTGCAGGTGTACGACGTTGGACGATCATTTCCAGTTTTCTAAAACCGATTCTATGCTTTGTAAATGACACTTTGAGAAACTCCCAATGTTTCCCCTACGACGGATTGCGTTTGACCCGCCTCTAAACGACCGACGGACCTCCAGGCTACCGATTCAGTCATTCTGCTGATTGTTCACTGTTGCAAAACATTCAACACGTGTCAAATGTTTTTTAATCTCCTGCTACAGAAGGAATGCTGAAGGTCGCTTTTCACTCTTTATTTAACCGAATAGTTTTCGATGTCCCAGGCAAAATTTGCACATTCCGAACTTTGTAAACATTATGATTTTCCTTTTAATCTCTTATGTTTCATCTTTGTCAAACAATTTATCGATTATGTAGTTATTTCATACCGAACTCAAAATATCCCCTTATTGTTTTGAGCAGTGTATTTATATATCCCGATGTTCATACCCAGCTTAGAAATCCTTACCCGGCCTTTATTTTGGCAATCGTTGGTTGTAGCCCAATATACTTCCAATTACCGAACTCCTTTAAATGACGAAAATATTCATGCTTTGGCAACGTCAAATTTAAAAAAGAAAATTAACTTTTAATTTAATTTTAATTTAAACTAACTTTTAATGGGATCTTAAAGTTCCTATACTGACATTTGGGAAAGTTTTTTACTCGTTATGAAAAAATAAAATTGTAAGAAATTTGAGTCCCACACGACGTAAATGGACCGGGATATTGAATTTCAAAATTTCCAGTTTTTGATATCTCTTTTAACTTGCTTTGAGAAATCGTTTAATTATATTACAATAATTCGAGGAAATAAGTTTATATTCTTTGGATGAGCCACCCAATGAAAGGGGGCAGTCAACGTTTGGATAGCGAGAAGTGAGATAGTTTCAAGGGAGCGTACCCGAATGCCCTAGTGAGTGAGAGCCGGAGTTCGAAGGCTATCTATCTCCTGTATGTTCAATAAGCCGGCTAGGAGACGTTCACTGGGTATACTGGAGTAAGCCTTGCCCTATGGACTGTTTTGTTGTGCTAAGGGATTTAGCAAGAACTAACTAGAATCATTTCGGGTGTGCTGTTGTTTTGTTATAGTTCAGTTGTAACCGTTTCAGAAGCACTACTGGACTTCGTGTTATCCACGTACCAGATTGTATTAAATTCACTTGTTAAGGTTACGTTTTTATCAAATCCTTGTTATCGTTTTATATATTTTGGGTTTGGAATCTTTTCAACGCTGAAGTACAACAGGGGCTTTGTGTATTGTGTTCGGCCACTGCACCACAGAATAAACATTTTGGTCATTTCCAGTTTCCTGCATGCTTAATGTTATTTCATATGTCTTATATGCGAACTCCCGAATGTATAAAAATCGAATATAAGGAACTTTATGAATATCTTGGAACGGAAATTTTTAGCATTTTCCAAACTTTTTTTCAGAATTTCGGCAACGTTCTGCTAAAAAATTACAAACCCTTAAAATCATCTCGCTTAGGGTGTTAAAATAACGAAAAATAACTTTAGGTTTCTATTCTTTTATTTTCATCCACACTTCTCCTTCTACGTTCTTAACAAACAAACAACAACAACAACAACAACAAAAAAAAAAAAAAAAAAAAAAAAAAAAAAAAAACTACGCAAGCGATGTGTAAACTCAACCCTTGATAACAGAACACGCGATAAACTTATCTTAGGAGATCTTACTGTGTCATGCGTTCAGCCATCGATGCATTGATATAAAGAGCTTGAACTGATTCAGTGATTAAATTCGAGTTCTTTGACTGAGATGTCAGGCAGCACTCTGATATAGGCTTCATAATCGTATAACTGCGTTTTAGATGGAAGTGTCTCACTGGAGGGACGGGTGTGAAAAATAACTTTAATGCTAAGTAATTTTTCGTGCAAAATTATCAACATTATCTTTATTCCAATATAGATTGTAAAATGAATTCAAAACAGATTTTTTTTTCGTGACGTCTGTACGTACTTACGTACGTACGTATCTCGCATAATTCAAAACCGTGAAATTTTGGAAGCCGTGGAACGTTGAGGTTTTATGTATGGAACTAGTATAACATATAGCTGTGCAGCTCCCATTTTTAATCCAATATATATTATATGTAAGAAAAAGAATATATAAAAGATTAAATTAGCAACGTAAATTTCCCATCTCAATTCTAAAAATAGTAACCCCTCTCTGCACTGTGTCATATCGAGACTGTTCTATGTCATATGATTCTTACGTAATTATGATGATGTAAATGGAAGTAAAACTCAACCAGCCAATAGTAATATTAGAGCAATATTAACTTCCAATCAGAATGTATTGAGAACCAAAATTAACTCAGTCTGAATAAGATTTCACCCTGAAAATAACGCACATTCTTTCTACGCTTTGCCTTAGCTGGACTGCAGTCTGTCTGCTGCTTCTTTCTTGCTGCAAAGTTATCACCTATGTAAGCCCTTCGGAATAGGCACATTTAATGTGCCGACTTGTGTGTAGCCGCCACATGTTGCTGAAAATAAAATTGAAGATTTAATCTGCATTCGCATCCAATTTCCTAGCCA